CCCCGGCCCCTCCTGGCCCTGGCTGTCCCCTGAGAGGAGCGGGGGGCTACAGTGGACCCTGGCCCCACAGCTCCCGGATGGCACCCGACCGCCAAAGGGGGTTTTCTCCGGGTGGGAGCATCCAAGTGTTTTTGAAATACGGTCACCTGGCACGTTTTTCTGAGGCTAAAAGCATGGGCCTGGCTCTGCGCAGTGTAGGCACGTCCCTTTCCCATCGCTCCTGTCTTCACCTAGAAACTCCCTTAAATAATTATGTTTGTGTTGATTTACCACAAAGGGGAAGACAACAGGCAAGGCACTGGGATCGCAATGCAGCTTCAGTGCAATTTGGATATTTCTTGGATTTTTTAGTAATATTATTTATGGGATTATTATTGAAAAGAGTAAGCCTGTGTAGTATCATTTTGTGGTAAACCACATTCATTAATCAGCTACTGCATATATCTCCTTAAAGAGATGGGAAGCTACCCTCAGCCACGATGACTTCCGTAAATTGCAGGATCCCTGTATGTCCAGTGTCCAGACTGGGCTTCCCGGAGGTCTGGGTCGCTGCTTGTGGCACAGGAAAGAGATGGTACCTGCAGCATCTCCTCGGGAAAGGCACGGGGCTGCCGTGCTGGAGTGGCCGCAGTGCTGCCCCAGGCGGGCTGTTGTCACCCACTGAAGCCGGTGCCAGCTCCTTCAGAGGAGGTTTCAAGATCCTTTCCAGCGGGTCACACTCATGAATGTAATCTCCCAGTAGGCCAGCTTGTCTCTTACTTAAAGTTGTTTCATACCCGGAAAATAAATGTCCTGAATGTCTAATATCGCTTGTGGAAGGGCTTAAAAGTAGTTTGTTTTTTACAGCTCCACATATTCTTGCCATTTATTATCTGTGTCCAACTCATTCCTTTAAACAATAAATCTGTAAGCTCTTGGCCTCAGTCGGCTTCCATGGCACTGAGCCCCACCAATGACTTATGGTGCCCATTTTAAGCCCGTTTTGCCAAGTCGTGAGGATTGCCAGAGGCTGTAGCTGTTGCCACTTGCAGGAGATGTCACTTCCAGCTCCTAGTGCTGGTCCCACTGGCCTCTGTCCCCAAACTCCTCTTCAGCGGAAGGGGACCTACCAGCACGTTTGCTCTTACCCGGAATGGCCGGGCAATTCACCAGGTCTTTGTAAAATGGACAAGTTTGTGGTTTGTTTTTCTCTCTCCTTTTTTCACTGCTTCCATTTTTTGGAGTCATTGTCATCCCTTCAGGTGGATCTCGGCATGATGAGAAGACAATTTGCTGGCTGGGCTGTGTGGAAGCAAGGACCCAAATCTGAACAGACGCTGTTAAGACTAGAGATAATAACCGTTTTCTGTGGTGGAGGATGAGACATTTCCGACAGAAATCTGCTCATTTTTTTCACCAGAAATGTTTGCTTGTTTGTTTCCAGCCCACATGATGTAAGGAGGAAAAACACACTGTTTTTCCTGGATTAAGCTTTGATTTGAAACAAGGCTTTATGAGACCTTGCTATTTCCATTTTTAATCACCCTTGGCGAACTCATTTACTATAAATTTGAAATGATCTGAGATCATGTAAACAAAACCAGCCCAAGCCCGTAGCCCCAAGCAATCATGACTGCCCTCGCTCTGATCCCTTGCAGGGGAAAGCACGGGAGCGCGAGGCTGCCATCGGTGTTCCTCGCTGTAAACTCGGGTACGGCTTTCCTGGCCTGCGGACCTGAATGCCGTTTGCAGTCGTTGTGGTTTAGCAGGGCCTGTACACTGACACGGGCTGGGTGTGAGCCGCATGGAGTGGCTGCTGCGGCCAGGAAACCTGCTGTATTCGCAGGGTCGGGGTGATTTTCGTGCTAAATGCTCGAAGACTAGGAAAGCCTCAGCAGGAAGAGCAGCTTTGGGTGTCCGTGCCAGTGTGTTCAAGGGGTAATGGGGGTGGAGGAGGAGACACTTGGGCCGTCTCCATGGGGGATGTCCGGGGTCCCTGTGTCCCTGTGGTCTTGGGTGGCTGCTAAGGGCAGGGAGACCTTGCAGCCTTGTCTTCCTGGGCCGGCCCCGCTTCGCCTGCATCGCCTTTTGGGAGGAATGGGGCTGGCTCTGAAAGGTGGGTCTGGGCAGCCCTTGGGGAGCGGCGTTGTGTTTCAGGCTGCCCCGGGTGCGGTTGCCTTCCCCGGCTGCCAGGGCACACGTCGGGGCCGGGGGGCACTGCACGGCCCGGGAGCATCCCCGGGGGGGTTCTCCCCGTCGGGGCCGGGGCCGGTCCGGGGGG